GGAATGTGAGGTCTCCTTCAAGGACTAGCAGCCATTCTCAACCTGTGGGTCACGAACAATGAAAATACATCTGGCATATCAGATATTTACATTACGATTCATAACAGTAGCAAAATTAGTTATGAAGTAGGAACAAAAATAATTTTATGGATGGGGGTCACCACAACATAAGGAACTGTATTAAAGGGTCGTGGCATTAGGAAGGTTGAGAACCACTGCTCTAGATAAAACATGTCAAACTCAAAGGTTAACACAGGCCAAATAAAGAAGGCATGCGGCCCGTGGCCTGCAAGTTTGACATGCTTGCTCTAGATCCATCTATGTTGCAAAAGATAAAGTTTCATTATTTTTACCGCTGAGTAGTATCCATTGTGTAAATGTACCATAGTTGTTTTTTTTATCCACTCTTCTACTGGTGGGCACTTGAGCTGCTTCCATATCTTGACTATTGTAAATAATGCTGCAATGAACATAGGGGTGCATATATTCTTTTGAATTAGTGTTTGGGGTTTCTTCAGAGGTATTCCCAGAAGTGCAATCACTGGGCAAAAGGCAGTTCCATTTTTAACTTTCTGAGGAACCTCCTCAATGTTTTCCATATGGTTGCACTGCCAAGAGTGCACTGGGGTTCCCTTTTCTCCAACACTTGTTGATTTATCTATGGTAGCCATTTATCTATGGTATCTCATTGTGGTTTTGATTTGCATTTCTCTAATGATTAGTGATGTTGAACAACATTTATTTATTTATTTATTTATTTATTTATTTATTTTTAATCCTCATCCAAGGATATGTTTTTCATTTATTCTAGAGAGAGAGGGAGTGGTGAGGGGGAGAGCGAGAGAAAGAGGGAGGGAAACATCATTGTAACCGAGAAACATCTATCAGTTGCCTCACACACAGGTGGTTGCCTGCCATCTTTTGATGCACCGGATGATGCTTTAAGCCAACTGAGACACACTAGCCAGGGCTCAAAAAAAATTATATATTTTTTTATATATTTTATAAAAAATATATATATTTTTTATATATTTCTTTGCATCTATTTTTGTGTTCTCTATTTTGTTCCTTTTCTTAAAATCCTCACCTGAGGATATTTTTCCATTGATTTTGAGAGAGAGGGAAAAACAGAGGGAAATATTGATGTGAGAGAAACACATCAATTGGTTGCCTTCTGCATGTGCCTCGACCAGGGCCCAGGCCAGGGAGGAGCCTGCAACCAAGGTACATGCTCTTGACCCGAATCGAACCCTTTGGTCCGCAGGCTGACACTATCCTCTGAGCCAAATTGGCTAGGGCTCAAAAATTTTTAATGGTTCCCCATCTCACTTACATTGAAGCCGAAGTCTTTATAACGGCTTTCGAGGCCCTGCAAGATCCAACCTTTGTTGTTTTTCTGACCTCATCTGTGCTTTCCTCTGTCCTTGCTTTGCTCTATCTTCCCTGACTATAGCTAACATCCTTCTATGTTTGGATTAGGGTCTTTGCAAGGGCTGCTTCCTCTGCCTGCAATACTCCTCCCCCACATGTCTTCCGTGGCCAGCTCCCACTGGCTTCTCCATAGCCCATCTGTGCGAGAAGAGTGCCTGTGAAGGAATTAGTTGTGTCATAAGGAGTGAATAATAGAAGGGTATTGGCAAGTGTTGCAATTCTTTTGATGAAAAAGAGCCAGTGGATGAGATAATCCTAGACTTAGTAGCAATTGGTGAGTTCTGAATAATAATGAAAGAATTAAAGCAGAAAATACTTTGTAGCACGTTAATAAGATGAGGCAGCCTTCAGTTAACCATTGGAAACATATATCATGGTTCATGATTTGAAGGTCCCTTCACGAAATAAGGTATTGTGTTTCATAGTAGGTTTGGTGTCCTGCTGCTTAGTTATGACTTAATGATATGCCCTGGAGTTAAATAGAATAGATCAAAGAACTGCTTGAGTATCATTTTTGTAATCTATTATAAAAACTTAATAGAAAACATTTAATTATTAAATTCCTTCTTTAATTGATTATTAGGAGAAAGTGTTTCTGTAGTTAATCTTGTATGTTTCATTAAACAGGAGCACCAAAATGTAGTTTCTGTTTTTTTGCCGTAGCTGATAGATTTCAGAGCCTAACCAGTATTTAATTTATCTCAAATACCTATTTATTCTAGTCCTCTGTACCTTTTTAATTTTAATTGAAGGATTTATACTACATTTTATTTTATAAATTGCCAAAATGACTTATGGAAATAGACTTAATTGACATTATAAAATATCCTTTTATTAAGAGGAAATTACGATTCTCCGTGTCATAATCAAGAAGATTTGTGCCCTGGCCAGGTGGCTCAGTTGTTGGAGTGTCATCCCATACATTAAAAGGTTACAGGCTCAATACCTGGTCAGGGCACATATCTAGGTTGTGGGCTTGATCCCCAGTTGGCTGCATATGGGATGCAACCAATCGATGTTTCTCTAATCACATTAATGTTTCTCTCCTTCTCCTTCTCTCTCTCCCCCACCCCCTTTCTCCTTTCATCTCTATAAAATAAAAAATAAAAATTTTAAAGTACATACCTTGGGTGAGACAGTACAATAAATTTTAGGATCAACTGTATTTGTAGGTGTAAGAAGGATCACTTGCTTTTGAAGAGTTTAATATTAGTGGTTTCTAACTTTTTTGAGTCATAAACCCTCTTAACATTTTTGTACACTTTTATCACGAATTTGTTATATATGCAAATTCTAATCTCACCTCAAGAGATTCTGATCCAGCCCTGCTGGCATTGCTCAGTGGTAAAGTGCAAAACTATGAACCAGGAGACCACAGTTCAATTCCTAGTGAGGGCACATGCTTGAATTATGGGCTCAGTTTCCAGTGCAAGGGGCAGCCAAACAATGATTCTTTCTCATCATTGATGTTTCTATGTCTCCCCCTCCATTCCTATCTGAAGTCAATGAAAATAGATTTTTAAGGAAAAAAAGAGATTCTGATCCAGCAGGTCTGAGTTACGTTTTAGAAATCTGTATGTGTAATCACCATCCTAGGTAATTCTGGTGTAGGTTCTTGTCAGACCATATGTTTAAAAGCTGCTCCTGGCTCAGCCAGCATGGCTCAGTGATGGAGCATCAGCCTATGAACCAGGGGGTCATGGTTCGATTCCTGGTCAGGGCACATGCCCGGGTTGCGGGCTCGATCCTCGATTGTGTGCGGTGTGCAGGAGGCAGCCGATCAATGATTCCCTCTCATTATTGATGTTTCTACCTCTTTCTCCCTCTCCCTTCCTCTCTGAAATCACTAAAATATATTTAAAAAAGTAAAAACTGGTTCTGGGTTATAGTTTCAGGGAGTTTGCAGATTCCATGCCATCAGTGCATGAATCTTACCTGATACAAGTGAGCAACACCTTCAATAAGTTATATAGTAAAAACATTAATGAGTTTCTTAGGGTGTGTGATACTAGTATGTTAGAAAATTAATGATTTTTATTCAAATTTATGTGCAAAAGCAAGTCACATGGCTATATTTAACTTATGGGGTCTCTCTTTTTAGTAATGTAACGAATTGATATTTTTTTCTAATATTGAGCCACTTTGACATTCCTGGGATAAATTGTGCATAATTATGAGGTGTCATTCTGTTGATATACCACTTGTGTAATTTTCTATTTATTTAAGATGTTGCATCTATGTTAGATTGGTCTAGAGCAGTGGTTCTCAACCTTCCTAATGCCGCAACCCTTTAATACAGTTCCTTAGGTTGTGGTGACCCCCCAACCTTAAAATTATTTTCATTGCTACTTCATAACTGTAATTTTGCTACTGTTATGAATCGTAATGTAAATATCTGATATGCAGGATGTATTTTCATTGTTACAAATTGAACATAATTAAAGCATAGTGATTAATCACAAAAACAATATGTAATTAAACATGTGTTTTCCCATGGTCTTAGGCGACCCCTATGAAAGGGTCATTCGACTCCCAAAGGGGTCGCAACTCACAGGTTGAGAACCACTGGTCTAGAGTTTTCATTTTTTCTCTTCTCACCAGTTTGGTATCAGTATTTTCTTAGCATTTTAAAATGAAATGGAATATCTTCTTGTGTGGGGTTTTTTTTTTTGTCTTCTCAGTTTTCAGAGTTTATATAGATTTTAAATGTACATTTTGTGAGGAGTTTAGGGCAACTATAAAATTTGAGGCCATATTCTTTGCACACATGACCACCTTCATTTCTGACACTAGCTACATACATGAGGGGTTCCCAAAACAGCATGAGGTTTCATAATTTATTAGAAAAACTCATAGGTCTTACTGAAAGCTGCTTTACTCATGGTTATGATTTGTTACAAGGAAAGAAAAGATTAAGGTCAGCCGAAGGAAGAGACATATAGGGCTGAGTCCAGGAAGGTTTTTTCGAGCAGAGCTTCCCTTGTCCTTCCTGGTGTAGTCAGGTCTCATTTCTCTCCTTGCCTCACTGTGTGACAGTGCATATAGAGTACTGCCACCATGAAACTCACCCAATTTTTGATGTCCAGAATTTTTATTGAGGCTTTGTCATGTAGGCATGATTAATTGATTGCTCACATGGGTAATCTCAGTCTCCAGGTTGAACCAAAGCCCCCACCCTAATTTGCATTTTTATTGTTTCCGAATTGGCCAGTCCTCACCCAAAGGCTATGTGGGTTTGGTTAGTTCCCTTCCTAAATCACATTGTTAGAATATTCAGTATGAACCAAGCTCCCCAGGCAAATAATGACAACATTCCAAGGGCCCAGACTAGAAGCCAAGGGCAAAGGGTAGACCTTCACTTCGGACAACACCAAATTCTTCACTATATAATTTTGTACAATTGATTTTTTTTTATGGTTGTCTTCCTGTGATTTCTTGATACCAGGTTAAATTTATAGAGATTCCATTATGGAAAACTGGTTCTTTTAAATTTCTCTTGCTATCTTTTAAAAAATAAAAATAAGCACTTTTGATTTAACTGCATTTAAATTAAACTATTATTTATTCTTTTCTTTTTATCAAAGAATAAAGGTTCTCTTCAGTTTGAAGACAAATGGGATTTCATGCGTCCAATTGTGTTGAAGCTTTTACGCCAAGAGTCTGTTACAAAACAGCAGTGGTTTGATCTGTTTTCGTAAGTAATCCATTAATTCTAACATTTTGCTAACATAAAGGAAGTTTGGGTGGTGCATTTCTATATTCAAGTGAAATGTTTACTCTATTGATCTCTTTACTTGTTTAAAAGTATAACTACTTATGTTGGGGGTCCTCAAGACCACCTGATTTCAGTGATTTGGAAGGACTCATAGGACTTGACATGTAGTTATACTCACAGATATGATTTATTACAAAGCAAAATCCGCAAAGGGGAAAAGGCACATGGGGTGAAGTCTGAGGAAAGACACACAAACTGCCAAGAGTATTCGCCTAGTAGAGTCACATGAGGCACACTTAACTTCCCCAGCAACAGGATTGACAACGTGATGTGTTGTCTTCCAGAGAAGCTCATTGGAGACTCAGTGCCCAGGGTTTTTATTGGAGGCTGGTCACATAGGCAGCTTCTGCCTGTCATGTACCAAAAATTCAGACCCTAAGAAAAAGAGAGCAGGTGTTCAGTGTAAACCATACTATTTACACAAATAGATTATTAGACACAGTTAGCCATTCTTATCATTTCAGGAAAGTTTTGTCAGTGTAGGGCACTGTTGACCATTCAAGTTCTCAGATTCCAGCCCAGGCCAAGCCAGCCTTTCTAAGGAATACAGTCTCCAGTCTGCTGTGTTAACTCCTGGCCTTTGGCTAAAGGTCTTTACAGCAAAACTATTATCAGTAGGACTTAACACAGCAAGGCAAGACCAACCTATAGAATTGATCTCAGGTACATCTTTTAGAGGCCCTGGATTTAGTTAGTTAAAATAAGTCCCATTAACCATGAGGTTTGTCTTAGAAAAGTAGGTGACTTTCTGTATGGATCTTTTTACATGGACTGAAGTATCAATTCAGGCAAAGTATAACTCTGGTCTAAAAATTGAAGCAGACCTGAACACTTCCAGGGTTCAAGCAGTGTCATGATAGGGTACACAAATAAAGAAGTACAGTCTTAGAGAGTGTACATGGTACCCTTGGGAACAAATAGTTTACAATTGTTAGTCCAGAGTATAGGTTAAGAAGGCCCCCTAGTGTGCCCTCCTCCCAGACCTTTCACTCTAGAGTTCCTAATCCAGTCCAGTTAATTCAGTTCAGGCCTTGATTTCAGGCTTGGATTGCAATTAATTCCAAACAGTTTAATTTATCTATGACACCAGTTCATTTGCCTCACCAGTGCAGATTACATTTAGAGTTAGTCTTTGTGGAAAATGTCAGAATTGGGGCTGCTCTCTGCTATCTTGGAGCACTGTTAGGTGTGATTTGGAGCTCGGCAGTCAGCTTGAAGTCAAAGCATTCACAGCAGCATGGAAAGTTAACACCAGGAGTTTTTTATTTTGTTTATTTTTGTGTGTGTTTTGTTTTGTTTTTCAGGAAGAGGTGAAAGCTTTCCAGAATAGTTCTGAAAAACAAAAATCATTAATGTCCTCCTGATGCTGAGTTTTGTTTTCTCTCTCTTATAAAATCAGTATGTCCAATGCATTAATGAAAATTATTCATTGCCCTAATTATCCAGACCTGCAAGAGGAACAAAAGCATTTGTATAGAAAGACATTTTTGTACAACCTACCTAGAAAGATGTATCATATTTCGGGATTGGTCTGGATGAAATCCCAAGTTTTCAAAAACTTTCAAAATAGATTTACATCACCTCCCACCTCTTTTGTCTTGATAATCTAGTGAGCAGCCTGGAAAAAGTTAGTTCCTCTGAAAATAGCTGTGTTTAATAGTTAAGTTGCCTAACTAAAATGTGTGTACACGGAGGGGTGAGGTAAAAGTACAGGAAATAGAGTCAGGTTATTAATATGTTGTTGAAAACTGCAGCTAATCCAGAAAGCTGAACACAAGTCAATAATAGTGAGAGATCCCTAAGAGCAATGGAGAGTCCAGGCTGGAAGGAGCAAGTACAGTGCCCTCTGCCAACTAGAGCTTTTGTCAGTAACCACAAGTTAGGAAGGCACTTAGTCTCTGTGTCAGATAGATAAAACCAGGCAGCAGCTTGATTTCAGATGGTCCATCAGAGAATAAGCCCTTTTCTGTGGGCATTGCAAGTGATTCCGACGGTCCAACCACAGTACATGGTGTTTTCAGCTTATGGCTCCACAGAAGTGTGTCTTAAATCTTCAGCAATCAAGTCAAAGACGAGTTCATTGAGCATATGCCTGCTTTAGCTCAGTACACTAAACTGAAGTTTGAAGATTAAAGAGCCCAACACCAGACATTATCAGGTTATAGCTTAGATTCAGATCCAGGCTTAGGATTTGCGAATTCGGGATTCCAAAAAAGCCAATGACTTTTCTTTAGCGTTAGCAAAGACAACATATGACAGAACAGACAGTCATGTTCCAAGTCCCAGTGACAAGACTTTTCTAAGCCTATTTTACCCTTGCCAGTCTTAGATTCCAAATCGATCCACTCAAAAATAGCACATCAGGCTGGAAGATCATCAGCCTCTAAGGGCCAGACATCTGATTTCAAAAGAGCTCAGTAGCAACTAACAACTGTGTTTTGAAACTCCAAAAGTGTATTGCTATCTGGAGATTTTCTTTGTTTTCTTCCTTTTCTCAGAGACACCAATAGGTAAAAAGAACAGTAAATATCTTTCATTATAGCAACTTCATCTGTTTCCAATACTTAAACACTTTAAATTCCAATCCCCTCACCAGCAGTAAAAAGCAGGGAGGGCCAGAACCCGTTTGGCTCAGTGGATAGAGCGTCGGCCTGCGGACTCAAGGGTCCCAGGTTCAATTTCGGTCAAGGGCATGTACCTTGGTTGCGGGCACATCCCCAGTGGGGGTCGTGCAGGAGGCAGATTGATGTTTCTCTCTCATCGATGTTTCTGGCTCTCTATCCCTCTCCCTTCCTCTCTGTAAAAAATCAATAAAATACATTTTTTTTTTAAAAAGAAGAAAAAGAAAAAGCTTTTTTTTAAAAAAAAGCAGGGAGGGTGTGAATTGCTAACTTATTATTTTACAACTTTTTCTGATTGATATGATCCCTCTAGCATTTATGAGAGTACAAACATATAACATTTTATATCTTTATCATACATCCATATTTAATAGTCACAAAATACAAAGTCATCTTTTTAAACTTCCCCTGCTCCTTTTTTCATTACAAATATACTCAAATTCCAGGAGTAAAATTCAGCATTTATACCATTCACATAGTTGCTGGGAGACCCTACCTGAAAAGGACGCAGTATGGAGGGGTTGTTGCAGCAGCAAGTTAGGCTAAAGAAACAGTTGGAGTGGTTTCCCATCCCTTGGTTTATCTAAACCCTTCCCTAGCCCTGGGATCTAATTTAACTATTATTTCCTCATGCTTAGAAGAGAGCAACACAAAAGTTTAACCTTTGTGGCCCACCCAGAGCTTACCTGTGGGAACTTTTAGGTCTTTTCTCCTCCTACTTGGAGGTGAGAACAAAACCAAATGCATTATCCAGGCTGTACTGCTTCTCTTCTGACTTGAATCAACATGGCCAAAAGCAGCCAGGAAATTAAGCGAGGTAACTCGCCTGGGGTTATTTTTAAGTTTCATAGATATCATCCCTCTCATAGCAGATACCAACTCTGCTGCTGTTCATAGCCACCCAAGTAGGAAAGGTTTGTCATCCTACCATTTCATCCTTGCTTTTCCCAAACAATGCTTTCACCACGTTTCAATGAGTCAGTTCTAGTGAATCCCACTTCTGACACCAACATGTCAGCACTCTCAAGACCACCCTGGGTTCAAGGAATGCTAGGAAGACTCATAGGACTGACCATATAATTGTATTCCTGGATGTACTTTATTATAGTGGAGGATACAAAACAAAATGCCAATGAGATGCATGTGGTAAAGTTCAGGCTAACCAAGCATCTTCTCTGAGTGAAGTTACGCAGGATAGACCTGATTCTTTCAGCAACTAATTGTTACAACACATGTGAAATCCTGTCTACCATGGAAGCTCATTAAAGACTCACTGCCCAGGGTTTTACCTGGGGCCAGTCACATAGGCAGCCTCTGCCTGACATGAACCAAAGTTCCAGACTCTTAGGTGGAAAGCAGGTGTTTAACATAAATCAGATTTTTACAGATTTTTTTTTTTAAATCAGTATAGATACAGTGAACCAGTCTTACCAGGAAATGGTGAGAACATTCCCAAAATCCAAGTTCCCAGATGCCAACCAAGGGTCAACTTTGCAACCATGTCTTCCTAAAGATGGCTGTCTCACACCTGCTATAATTTATGTGTGCGCACTAGGGAAATACTATATCAATGACTATATCAGTGAATTGTAGACATGTGACTGAGTAATCTATATGTATACATTAAGCTATTGTGCTCATTTTTTCTCTTTATTACCTAAGAAAAAATCTAATTTCCCTAAACAACATAAAACTTGTTGCATATTAACTTATATCCATGATTCTGCCTTTTAATAAATTAGCATTTAATAAGAAACAGCAGAGACATTTTAAAACTTCATAGCATTCATATATACATGTATTTTTCTTAAATTATTTGATTAAACTATTTTATGAATAATGTGTTGAATGTGGTAGGGTTTCTTTTTATTTTTTCTAATTTGTGTTGATAATATGCTTTATCATCTAAAATAATGCTTGTTCTCTGTGCATCCTGCCTGGGAACAGGAGCATACTGTGAGGCCGTTCCTTGCTTACTGTGTACTTCTAAGCAGAAATAGTCAATAACTTTGTACTTGCTACAGCTAGTGGCTTTAATATACTGTTTTTAAAAATCTTTGCTCTCCTTGGAGTTACCCAAGGTTTATCAATATGTTGTCCTCTTAGAATTCCTGGATGTCTTATCATGCTATCACCAAAGTTGCAAGACCTACCTTTCCAAATTTTAGCCTATTGAACCATAATAATAACAGAGCTTGCTTATTTCTAAATCTCACGTGTTTGATGTATTGATGTTAAACTACATTGACTATTTACTCCCCTTTTCTCATAATCTGCATCCTTATTTTTCAGTAGGAG